TTCAAGCCACTCTTCTTTAGGATTTTTGTGTTATTTTCAACTGAACCTGACCCTAAGTAACTCATCTGTTTTTCGTCTGCATGATGTCTAACTCTACATAGCACTTTCAGGTACATTATCTCATTTTCAACAGATGGGAAAATGTCCATTTTCCTGTGCTGTTTCCAGCTGGTCCTGGTTCCATGAGAGCCAGTGAGGGTCAACAGCAACCATCAGAGGGCTATTTTACCTACCAAAGTTGAAGACTGTGGGAAAACTGGAAACATTTGGCTCAGGAGGCAAAAAGAAGATGTTGCTTTCAGAGTTAATGACGACTCTGGGGAAAACTCTGCCTCCGTTTTTCGAAGCTAGGCCGTGACTCTCGGAGACTCAACCCTTGTTCACTACCTCACTACCCCGTGTTTAAAAGGGTATTGGTCTGGGGCTTTCCTGGTGGCGCAGTGGTTAAGAATCCACCTGCCAATGCAGGGCACACGGGTTCGAGCCCGTGTCCAGGAAGATCCCACATGCCACGGAGCAACTAAGCCCATGTACCACAACTACTGAACCCTCATGCTGCAACTACTGAAGCCTGCGTGCCTAGAGCCTGTGCTCCACAACAAGAGAAGCCACTGCAATGAGAAGCCATTGCAATGAGAAGCCCGCGCACTGCAACAAAGAGTAGCCCCCGCTTGCTGCCACTAGAGAAAGCCCGTGCACAGTAATGAAGACCCAAGGTAGCCCAAAATAAATTTAAAAAAAAAAAGGGCATTTGGTCTCTGCCAAGAGCTTTTTATGAATATTGTCTTGTGGAAAATTTTTTTCCTGAAATAGAGCTTCAGCAGTGTTTTCACTCCTCACTGATGGGCTGTTGGACTCATCCTCAGTGGAAATTCTTCAGGAGTAGGTATTTCCCAGTGACTGTTCTTCAAGAGTGGGTCTGCTTTGTGATGGCCATGGTATCAGTGGCTGGAGTAGGAGTCCTAGCCTCTGGTGCCACCTGCTCCGCTTTGTTCCGAAGTAGCAATTGGTCTACCATCTCCCAGAGTTATTTTTGTCTTGTTCTATCTCCACCCCCCTATACTCTCTAGCACACCCTTCCACCACCCCAAATCCCACACTGAGTTCTCTTCCAAAGCTGGGCAGGCATCTTTGCCCGGGTCCCCTTCTCCACTCCTCTAAGAAATCCTAGCAGGACCTGGCTAATTCTATCATGGCCCAGCCTGACCCAGCACTTCCTTGAAACTGCCTGTTCCACCCAAGTAGCCCAGCTAGGGCAGGCTGTCCCTTAAACTGACACTTTGATTCACAACAGGCTCCCTTGGAGGGGGGCAGTGTGTCTCAAAGCAGAGGAGGCATACACAGTGGTCTAAGCAGAACCCTGCTTTCCAAGGGCAGTGGTGAGAGGGGTTAATGTACTCTGATGGTTTAATGACAATAATGGTTTTTCTTATCTATTATTCATATTTTTACTCCTAACAGTCCTGTGAGGTGTTTCAGGCAAATTTTATAGATACGATCTCCAAAGAGGAGAGGGGAGCAAAAACTGATATTTAGTGAGCACCAAGTGTGAGTAGTAAGATTCTTGCACACACTGGCTGTTACCCTTCCCAGCAGGGAAGGGTACGTGCCTGAAGTGAGTCAGCGCTCAGCTCTACACGAGACCCACCATGGGGCTTGCACAATCCAGTAAACTGGAGCGGCTTACTATAAACTCGGAACCTTAACTGTGTCTGCTGTAGTGTGGAGATGACAGGCCTGGGATCTAGACTTGAGCTCTCTGGTGTCCTGGGCGGCAGCGGAGTACAGTGGCTACCAGCACAGGCTCTGCAGCACAGGCTCTGCAGCCAGGCAGAGCTGCTGGAGGGATCCTGGCCTCATGTTCAACAGCCAGGGGACCTTGTCCAAGTCACTGAACTTGCTCTGAGCCTATATTCCACATCGGTAAGGTGGTGATGAAAATTGTGCCGGCCTCCGACATCTCTTATAATGATTGAATGTGAGTGCAGGTAAACTGTCTTTTGTTCCATCATTAGTAGCTCTTGTTAATGTTACTTTCATCATTACTAACTGAAGAGGACGTTCTGACATCCTGGGAGAAAGGAAGCCATCGGCCTTGCCCACCCACCCACCTGGAATGGAGATCTTACTCAGTCAAGGAGCCTGCTCTGGGGCTGTTGGGGTAGTTTTTCAGCTTCCGTCTTTGGGCTGAGAGCTGCCCAGCCGGCCTGGCTGGGCCTCTGAGGCTGTTCCCCACTCCCCAGTTGCAGATCTGGTTTCTCTCACCCTCATAAAAGGCCCCGGCAGAGATGCCTACCAGAGCCAAGATCTCGAGGGTCCCTAGGGACAGAGAAGCAGCCCACGGTGGCCGGTGGCCGGGGCTGCTTTCTTATCTTACCTGATCCCACTTGGTTCCCCTCCCTCTCCTCCCCAGCCCTTCTAGGATTCATTCCTCCTGAGGGACGGGGGGCTGGTCTGAGCCCCTGGAGTGTGGCCGGCACAGTGCCTGCCTGGGTGAGCAGGCCCCCTGGGCACCCCGTCCTCCAGGCATGAAGACCTCAGCCAGGACTCACACAAGCCAGGCAGGCTCCTGTTTATCCTGCCTTCTCCAGGCCCACACAAGTGTTAGGAAATTGTTCCTTTGAACAGTGTTGGCTTTCTCAGCTTCTCCTACTTTGTGCTAATTTTTCTTTTTAGTTGCCTTGGATGGTGTAGACTCTACTCTGTAGCGGGTAAGAGTGCCAGCTTCAGGGGCAGGCAGCCCAAGTTCCAATGGCCTTTCTTTACACTGCCAGTCATGTGCTTGGTGAGGCAGGCACTGTGTGGGGCATGGTGCCAAGTGCCTTACAGGGATTAGGATTATCCCATGAGCCCTTAAAACATCTCCATTAGGTGGCTGCTCCTAACAGGTAGGGCATTCAGGCACAGAGAGGTAAAGTAACTTTCTCAAGGCAGCATAGCATGGGGTCTGTGACACCAAGGAAGGGACCCTTGTGAGAGAAGGAGAGAGGTGGAGAGGAAAGAAAATGAGGAAGGTTACTTCACAGTCCTGTCCAGAGCCTGTCTCCTCAGCCCCAGGGATGTGGAGTCCAACTGGCTTAGCCACTCTTCAGTTTTGCCAGGAGGAGGTGTGAGGGCAGAGAGGGAAGGTCAGTGAGCACTGACGGGAAGATTTATGAAGATGCAAAAAAGGCCTTCCCAGGGAAAAACCATCCTAACAGTTTTGGTAGGTGGGATGTGAAAAGATGCAGAATTTCTGTGGGGGAGGAGGAAGACAGCAAGGATGCCTTTTCAGCTGCTTACAAGTAACCACTTAATTCAGAACCTGTGTTTGGATCTCAAGGGAACTCAGGCCACCAAAGTCATAAATACACATGAGCCTAATGCAGCCTTGTGGGCAATAAGACAGTGAAGGTGGCATCCCTGATCCCCGTGGCTGCCGGTTTGTTTTAATTTTTGGATTAATGTTCATTTTCAGATGCAAGAGCCTTGGCCCACCAAGAAATGTAACCTTCAGCCGAGATTTTCTTGTCTCTTCTGATATGTGTTTTCACATCCTCTCAGTGCTTCAGCAGTTTCCTCTTCTCCATTCCTAAAAGAACCTGCATTCCCCTTTCTCAGCTCCCTTCCTGGCTTCCTGTGTGCTAAGCCTCTTGCAGTTGTCATCATGTCTTCAGAATGCATTTGATAGGTACAGGAAGTTGCACCAGACGGGAGATGGAACCAGCAATCAATAAAAAAAGAACTATGTTTCTAAGAAAAATGCATCATGTCTTCCCCCAGGAGTTGTGTACCATATGTGCTAATATCCGTGGAACAATGGGTCTAATTTTCAGCTCTTCTGCTTGGCTTTCCCGGTCATCTCAACAAAAAAGAAAATGGACCTTTTAACCTGCTGCCCAGCTTGCAGATGATTTACACTAAAGATTGCCTTTCCCTTTAACCCTTTCCTCAGATATCACAAAATAAAATCTCTCCTTTCTCTCCCTCCAGCTTTATTTCTCCTGGCTACTAGTTTAGTATATTTATGGTGCATGAGTCATCAAGCTGCCGCCTGATTGGATAAAAACCAAGCACCCCTGAGACCATCAGTCAATTACAGCTATTCTCAGCTTCATTCACTGATTTATTAGCTTGCACACACAGAGAGAAATTCATTCAGCAAAGTTCATTCATAAAAATTTCAACACTCTGCGTATCATCCTGCACATCTCAGCCTTCTGTTGCAGATAGGCTCCTGAAAGAAGCTCTGAGGGGAGTCGGGGAGTGAGGGAAGCTCGGAGCCAGGGTGGGCAGGCTGGGAGGGGATCTGAGGAACACGGAGGGATCACAAGTCCCTGAAATAATGCGGAGCAGCGCCTGTCACTAGCACTCCTGGCTTGTGGCCCAGACGGGATGCATGACAAGATCTTCCAAGAGAGGGCAGCCATCAGAAGAAACGAACCCAGGCACAAGGGCCTTTGGCCCACATATACATTTTCTTTGCTCCTTTTTTTAAAAATGAGCAATCACTGGAACAAGTAAAGGGTTAATGAGCCAGACATTGCCCCGCCCTATGGGAACCGGAGGGAGCAGGTTTGAAAGTTCCTGTGTGCAGAAGGGGAGGCTGGGGGGTAGGGGGCGTTAAATATTTCTGCAAGGCTCCCGCACCGCCAGCGATGCGGCGGGACCGGCTGGCCGGGCGCGCGGCTCCGTTCCGTGCCTAAGAGTTGGCCGTGAGCGGTTGCCGCCGCCGCCGCCGCGAGGCTGGGTCCAGGCTTTCCCAGCAAGGAATCCGAGGCGAGAACACCGGGTGCCGCCGCTGGGCCAGGGAGGGTCTGAAATCAGCCGGGAAGGCGTTTTCCCCTGGGCTGTTACCCTCGAGGACCCGGAGCCGAAGCGGGCGAGGGCGAGAACGGAGTTGGAGAGGTGGCAGCCGCCAAGTTGCACGGGGCGTTGAGGCATTTGCTTTCCGCACTGTTTATCTAGCAGACGACGAGGCGATTTATGCGACAGTATCCTGTTTCAGCACTGCCAAGGCTATGCGAGAACGCGGTCCGGACAGCCTGGCAGGACTCGTGCTGTATGTAGGACTCTTCAGGCACCCCGGGATGCTGCACAGGGCCAAGTATAGCCGCTTTCGGAACGAGTCCATCACGTCCTTGGACGAAGGCAGCCCCGGAGGCTCGGCGGGGAACAAGGGCTCGCCGCCGCCTCCCTACCCCACCCTGGCACCTCACCTGCCGGCTGAAGATGCCACCTTGGCGTCCCAGGAGAGCCCCACCCCACTGTGCACCTTGATCCCTCGCATGGCCAGCGTAAAGCTGGCCAACCCAGCCACCTTGCTGAGTCTGAAAAACTTTTGCTTGGGTACCAAAGAGGTACCTCGACTCAAGCTCCAGGAAAGCCAAGACCCGGCTCCCAGCAGCCCGGCTTCCCCTGAAACCAGTCTGAATAGGGCCATGCCAGCACCTCCGCCTCAGCGGGATGCCCTGGGGCACAGGGTGACCTCTTTAACTCCTGATGCCTGCCCCCTTCCCGGCCCTGGGGAGCCAACCCCCGGGAGCAGGCAGGACAAGCACTTTCTGCAGCACCTGTTGGGGATGGGCATGAACTACTATGTGAGGGTAAGTCCATTTTCCTGTCTGCACCCCTTCTACAAGGGGCACCTTCTCTGCTTTCTGAAAGGGGCTGCACATCACCTGGCCGGGTTCTAGGTTTGGATAAGACATTGTGTAGCTGGAGGGAGGGGAGGAGGGAGGCTGAGCTTACAGGTTTCCTTACAGATATCTGGCCTGTATTGGAGTCACACAACTTTTGGCTCAGGGGCATGAACTGGTGCTAACTCATAGGTAGTTGCCAGGTGTAGGGGCAACTTCTCATAGAGACAGCTGAGATGTCCCCACTGGACTGATCATTCTGGCCAAGAAGACTCAAGAATTTCAAATCTAATTAGTGAGTGAGACCCCATAAATTTTACTGGCCACTGTGCTTCAGTAGAGATTTTTGTGCTAGAGGAATACATGGTGTGTAAGGGACTTGTATTATTTCTGAAAATCTAATTCAGCATTTAACAAACACTTCTCAGAACATGGCTGAGCTTCTAGCCTTGTGCTAGGAGCTAGTCTTAGGTCTTCGGTGCACATTTTTTTGTCTTTATTGCCTACGCTGTGCCCACTGGTCCTTGCCCGTGAGCTATGTGCAAAATCAAGGTCTTTACTGGCCTTGCATCTGCCCTTTTCCATTCCAGATCTGGGTAAAAGTAGAATAGAAGATTTGGCCTCTGCCCTTCTAGAGCTCACATTTCAATCGGGGAGACCAACAAAATGCATGTGAAATAAGAAGAGGACAATATTTAGCAATAGATATATGGTGTGAGAATGCTGAGGGAATTCAGAAAAAGGGGAAGGTTGTTGTGGTCTGGGATTCATTCATATGGGAAACCTTTAGGAGAAGGTGCATCTTGGAAGAGCTATCAGATTTTTATTGGCAGAAAGGGGGAGACTCCTGGCAGGGCAAGAATATGAGCAAAGTCCAAATGGCAGGTATCACTGTGGTGGCTGCAGGGGAGCATCACACTGGGCTTAACTGGAGAAGAGAGGGGGTGCTGGAGGGTAGTGGGTGATAGAGGGTATGGCTGGCACATAGTTGATGCTCAAACAAATTTGAGTCAACTCAAGACATACAGATCTCGGGTAGCTTGGGGAGGAGGGAACAGCTGACCAAAGCTCTTAATGCTGCATGGGGAGTTTGTAAACACTCTGATTCATAAACAGAAACCATCATAGGTTTGTAGGCCAACTATAACTCGATGAAAGTGGTTTCAAAAAGATCAGTCTGTGAATTTATTTTAGATGGACTGAAGCAGGGAAAAACTAGAGATTTGGAGGCCGATAAAAAAGATACTCTGGGAGTTTAGGCACCAGGGGATGGGAACATGGATTAATGTGAAGATGAGAGAAAGGAGATGAATGTAAGAGCCTCTGTGAGAAGCCTCAACAGTCTTGGGTGACTGAGCAGATCACTTCAGATCATAATACACATAACAGAATGGTGAACATTTATTAAGCAGTGGGTAGATTGCTGAGTGTGTTATTGCTATTTATAGAGGTTGTGGATGATTAGTGATAAAGGAGTTGTGAGGAATGAAAAATAACTTCGAATGTAAGCCTCAGAATGGGATTGGTGATGTCAGTGATAGAAACAGAATGAGTTGGGAAGGGGGTCATGCTAAGTTTGCTTTCGACGTGTTATGTTTAAAGGGATGATATCTAAGTGGTACTAATTTGTAGGTAGCAATCGTATAAGACTAGCATTCAGGTGAGAAGTCTGATCTGAAAGTAGACATTTAAGAGATAGCCCAATAACTGTATCACACACAGGCAGTTAAGATCTCAAAGAAGGCCAAATCATGAACACTGGAAGGGTTACAGTGAGAGCAGGCTAGTGCAGCCTAGGTGAATTGATAACAAAAATCTCCAAGGAAGATACATTTATGGGACACTCAGCTCTTACCCTCCCTCACAGTGACACAGCTCAAAATGGAAATAGTTACATGTATCTACTAAAAGTTCGTGGGCAAATTCTCATTGGTCAAGCTTAAGCATCTGCCAGGCTCTAATGGAAAAATGTGACTCTCCAAACCCATATTTGGCACCTGCCTTCCCATCACCTAGACATCCTCTGCCGTCTGCCTTGCCTTTCCTTCCCTCTTGTACTTCCTTCCACCTCCCCACACCCACACACCTGTACAATTTTAAATGTGAAAGAATTGCTGTGTGATCTCCATTTTCCTTAGGGAGTGTCGCCACTGGCATTTTAGATTTTTAATGAGGATTCTGACTGCCTTTTCCTGGCAATGATGACTGACCCCAGGAAAAGTGCTGACCCCATGATCCATGTGAATCATACTATGCTGCCAATAGACAGTGACATGACACCAGTTAACACCTCTTTTAGGAAGTCAAAATACATGGAAAAGCCTACTGTATTAATTTTTATAAAACCCTACTTTGAAAGATGGAAGGAACTCAGAAGTTATCAAGTTCAATGCCTCTATAGGGAAACTGAAGTCCAGATAAGTGAATTTTTTTTTTTTTTTTTTTTTTTTTT